ATGATGAAACTAATTATGTGAGAGTTTTTTCGTGGAAACGTTCCTTTTAGTGTTCTTTTAAAATACTTACCTCCACCGCAACAGGCAAAAAGGGAATAGGAAAAAAAACAATTTAAAAAACCCAAAAACGCTTGGGATTAATCATGGGGGGAACAATCAAAAAACAAAAAGGCGACTTAAACGGACGTGCCATGGGCTAAAATATAAAAGAACCGGAACACATGAAAATATACCACCATCTATAGAAAACATTTCAAACCCAAATTCACCCCTCAAGTTGTGAGAACAACAGCTAAACAAAACACGCCAAGAACAAATTGTTCGGATGGTGCAAAAGATCTTTTCTCTTACATACGAAGGACAAAAACCAATTTGTAAAACTCGGTCCGTCCTAATTGAATTATCACGAACGGAAGTCTCTGTAATAACCGGGAATCCAAGTTAAAATTGCGGAATTTTTCTAACTGATATTCGGAAAAGATACTATACTGTTGAACCAGAAGGCTCCCCACTGCCGACCGTTGAAGAAGATACCGGAATTATTTGAAATTATTAGAATTTTCGAATATTGAAAAATGCCCAGATAATCGTGCGGATCTGAATGCAAAACTCATCCATCAGACCCGAGGGTATTACAACCGTTGTATCTGAAAAATTGTACATTTACACACTTGCTCCCTTTTACTGATAAAAATTTTCAAGCAATCCTTAGAATTGGGAAATTGCCTCTGAAATGGAAAAAAAAGCTGTTATCACACCCCGGTTTTCCCAAGAAAAGGGGACCCAAAAAGGTACTACAAGCTACAGACCCAATAAGTGCTGACAAGGCACAGTGTGCAAAGTCATATAAAAGGGTAATTGTCCGACAGCTTCAAGATCACTGCATTTGGAATATGATATCATGCCTAAAACAACAACACGGATTTTTCTCCCAGAAGACCCAACGTCTACAAAATACTACAGTCGCTAGATGATTATGGACAAGGAATTGGACCAGAAACGACCAGTCGAATCATATATATGGATTATGCCTAAAGCTTTCGATAAAGTTCCACATCAACGCCCATACCAACAAACTTTCATCTTTGGGTATTACCGACGGGCAAGCTATTGAAGTGGATCCAGGAATCACTTTACTCAGGCAGGACAACTTCCAGCGTGACCATTGGAAACTACACTGTCGAGGACCTCCGTGCTGTTTACATTGGATGTACCCAAGGTTTTCAGTTCTAGCCCAACATTATTCATCTTGTATACCTTGCGACCTTAGTAATGAACTATCCTGCGTATTGAATTGCTTATGCGGAACCGACACCAAAATTTTTCTTCTAATCCATTAATAACACTATACAGACATTACAAATGACCTCAACAAGTGGTGAGAACGGTCGGAGTCCTGGGTTATTACTTTGGAATTCTTGATAAATGCACTGGGTTTTTCATTTAGGAAGAAATAATCCAAATATTGATTATACTGTTGGAAATCACATCCTCAACTCTTAACCCCGAAGAACAAACATGATTCTTGGCCGTTATTATCACTCAAAAATCCTGAAATGGGATAAACCAATTGTTTCACCGTTACTTAAAAAAGCCAATAAGCCTCACTATACCTGTGGTAGAAAGACATTACTACTAACATTACGTCTCTATGGTGAAATCTGCATCTACCACGTCATATAATCAGACCATACTCAGAGTATGCTAATGTAAGTTTGGTCCCCTATTATCAGAAAGTCGATAAAACCATTGACAATAAGTACAAAGGCAGAATTACAAAGATCCCTAGAGAAACTATGTCAACTCTGATTATTGAAGGAAGATACAGAAGAAAATATCTCTGCTCTGACCATTACGAACAGAGAAGAGTAGAAATGATATTTTAGAGAACGTTTAAGATCGCTGAAAGGATTCTATACGAACGTACTGTAGAGTCAATTCAACTTTTTCATTAACACGCCACGGAGTCTTAGTACTTAGAAGGACACGCGATACTTGCAGGACGACTCGGTGGAAGCAGAGGACAGGCAAGGACAGGATAAGTGGTTCTCATTTTATGATAAACCGAGTGGGGTAAATACATGAATAACTTGCCGCCCGCACTTTGTGTACAAAAGGAAACTCTGAGCGCCTTTAAGGTGTGTGGGATAGGTCCAATTTTATTTGTGACATCCCATTGGCGTATCAGAATATTGACTCAGTAGAGAGAGTATAGTATATATATATATACTAATATATATAGGTATAATATATAATATATATATTATTATATATTATATATATACTATTATATATATATATATACTATATTATATATTCTATATATTATATATCCCACCCAAAGTGTTATTACTCTCGTGATGTAAAATTGTTGATCTAATTATTAACTGTTATTACCTCCCTACCGGAAAAAAAAAAATTTAATTTTTATTATATTAAACTAATTTTTACCACCGATTTTTGTAAATTGGGGGCGATATTTGTGTTATTTTCTTTTTCACTTTCTCCTGGCCCGGATTGTTGTTTTCAGTTTCTTCGTTAATATCTGTATTTAGTAATGCCTGGTGTTCAGTAAGAAGGTGACACATTATCGTTGTATAATCTGCTCGTAAGAAATTGCGTTTAGAGATGGAGTTATTAGACACACTATTTTTCATGGGCGATTCTGCTTGTAATGATGTCATAATCACTAAATGATCACTTTGACCAATACTTGGTCTTAGGATCGGGGGTGTAATGATATCTTCATCATTTGTTAATACTAAATCTAGAATCGCAGGAGTTTGATTTACTCTGCATCTAGTGGGCTCAAATACCATCTGAGAGAGATTTGAGTCTATATAGTATCTAATAAATTCTCTTTCAATTTCTGTGTGCGGAGTAGCTCCATGTTTGTTCCATGTAATTGTAGGAAAGTTGAAATCTATGTGACAGTCTCAAAAATAATGACTGGTATCTTGAGGTCACATACCATAACCATTTTCTCAAATAATTTGAGGTCTGATTGCCGAGGTCTCGTGTCGGATGTTGATGGTCTATATATTCCTTCTAAGGCATATAGTATGTTCCCATATTCGAGTTTCAACCAGAGTACCTCCACATCAGGGTCCTGTATTTCATACATATTTGTCACTTTCACAATCGTACTTCCAATGTTTTGTTTTACATACATTATTATTCCCCCTCCTCGCCTGTCCGGTCTGTCTCTGCGGTATATGTGAAAGCCAGGTACCTGTATCAGAGAGTCAGGAATGTTCAAGTTGAGCCATGATTCTGTTATTACAATTACAGTTACTGGTTGTACAGTGTCAACTTCTATCAGGAATTGATCAAACTTTTGAAGGAGAGCGGCGATGTTCGTGTACATAATTTTTGTATTTGTATTGTGTTTTAATTAATTTTGGATTTTTGACAGTTACATATAGGTTATCTTTAGGAATAAGTGAATGTGAATTTTAGGCTTGTTAAATTTTATGCCTTGAATGAATTTCAAATTATGTTGTGATTATTTATTATTAAATTTTAATTTTCATATCCTTTTTTAATTGTTAATTTTTCCACGTCTGCAGCTTTCCATGAAGTCAGTGTATATCCCAAAAAGGAGTTGCCGTTCTTCATTCTATTCACAGCTGGTTTGTGTTCATTTACTGCTTTGCTGGCTCTTCTTACTCATCAGTATCCTGAACCCATGGGAGTTGTAGCCAAAGCAGTAAGTATTTCATTAGAAATTTTAATATAGAACTTAATCAGTTTAAAAATCTGTTGTATTCTCCTACATACTTAAATTTTAATAATGTATGTAAAGTAATTCATTATGCTGGTGGAGATTGTGAGAAAGTACGTCAAGTATCATTAAAAACAAAATTTGGTTCTTTTTAGTCTTTGGGAAGGTCTTGAGGGAAGGCTAGCTCGACCTCCAGTTGCGGCCATTGTGAAAGTTATCAATCTAGGTTCTCTTGTTCTATCACCGATGTAGCATATGAGCACGTATATTAGTTGCGTACCTTGCCACCACACTCTAGCTTAGCTCATATGTTCAACATGCTTGTCCAGTATTACTGAACATAGGGACCGTGAGCACATTTAAGAGGTTTTCTGCTGTGGTACATAAGTGTCACAACCTTGTTTTGCCAGCCTCACACTGTTACTGGTGAGAGTGCAGATACTGGAGAATGGTGCCACCCATGATTATGTGAGAGTGTAGGCTTTCACTGCCAAAGTCAGTATCTACTTGGCTGCCTGGGAGAAGCTGCTCTGGTGCCAACATTGGCAGGTGCAAACTCATGCCCATTCATGCTGAGACTGCAACAGCGTTCATGCCTTAGCAATCTTGGCCATCTGGGTTGGCTAGTATTGTAAATTTTGTTTTGTCTCTAATTTCTCATTTCTTGTGAATTGTGTCAAACAAGCTTTAATGCTTGGATTATAGCATGTGTGTTATTTCATAATTTGTATTATGTTACTCAATCATAGGGTGGCCAGATCCTCATAGACGAAATGGAGCACAAGGGCTTAAAATGGAGGTCATTTATTGAAAAAGAGGACAGCCCATAATATTTTAAATAACAATGTAATATGTGACACATACGGTGTACTTTTTATATTGTATTTATTTGAGTATTCTGACAGATGGCAAAGTACTGATGCATACTAATTATAATACGCATCGTAAAAATCACTTTCATGAAATGTCAGTATCAACAGCTCACTATCAGAAATCCACATACAATACATGTATGTTACTTTACAATGCATTGCTAGATGCCATTAAACAATTGAAGTCAGTTCACAAATTTAAGCTAAAAGTAAAATATTTTCTGCTCCATAACTGTTTCTATACTTTTAGAGACTATACTAATCATCAAAAACAAAAATAATGCTTATTTTAGCAAAACAGTGATATATAATGGCTTAGTTTACATTTGTTTTGTATATTTTTATAAAAAAACAACTTAGTATGCTTGTAACAAATAATGCACTTCAGCTTCCCTCAGTGACCCCATCTCGATCAGGTTTGTGCCCAGTTTCCCTATGAACAGTTTTTACTGTTTTTTTGACTAAATAAATTTAAATCTAAATCATGCAAAACTAAAGAACTTTAATTTGAATTAGAGACTTATGATTCAGCTACACCATCTTTGCAGTCAGTTTCAGAATACTTCCTCCCCATTTTGAATGTCGGATATTTGCTGGCTAGGGCATAGTTAAACTTGCATTTCCTATTAGAGATTTAAACTATCACAATATACTGTTAGCAAACATATGTCTAGCTACACCTCAGATAACAGTATAGAAAGGTCACGTCCACATGGAAGAGGATGACTGGTTACTGTTTTCAAACACACTATAATTTATAAAAAAAAGAATTTCTGAAAAGTACAGTGATAAGATTTTCTGATTAAAAGTAGTAAGTAGTAGAAAGATACATTTAGAATTAAAAATCTGAATGAAACATTTCAATTCATTGTTGTCAAGCAAAAACATGTAGGATATAATTAGTAGAAATATCATGCCTAACCTGTTGGAATTAGTCAGAACATGTTAGAAACTTCTTATTATATAATTATAGAAGAATATAATATTATTATTACTCTTGCATATAATTTCTTTTTGACTGAAAGGGGTCAGAAAACTTTTAATTCAGACGTATTCAAAGTGATTTCAAATTCAGCTGGGAAATTTGAGGAGGTGATTCATGACAGGAAGAGAGACAGAATTTTTCTTATGAATTAATATTAGCTTCAGAATGTGTTATGGCCATGTATGAACTCTCAATTTTTTTGCATTGCCCTTCTGTGATTGTATATTCGAACAAGAACTACTCGCTGGTCAATGCAATAGTTGGGGTGATCTAACTTGGATAACAAGATCCCATACTTAAAGCTTCTTATTATTTACTACAAGGGCTACTTGTGTTCTCTAGAGTATGCTTGTTCTTGTACTCTGAAACACCATGTGCTTACTTGTAATGCTGTTTGGGTTAGGGCTGGAATGATTGAAATGTGCCTCCATCATAAGACAACTAGTGGTGCACCAACAGCACATACTTTCTCGCAATATTGTGAATGGTAATGTAGTATTCTAATATGAAAATTTCTGTCTAACACTTCAACGATCATTTCAAAAATTCTTAAAGAAACAAAGCCGAAAAATAAGTAAATTGTAAGCAGTATGCGAGAAAGTAAAATAATTAAAAGTACGATACTGATAGCGTTGGTAAACAAATGCAAATAGATTGAAAAAATATATAATAATAATTTTTAAACACTATGGTATTGTCATATTCTACAAATATATAAAGTAGTAGTTTATATTATTGTGAACGAAAGGCAGCCCTCATTATTGTCTTCTGTTATCAGTGCTGTATTACAACAATGGGTAACAACAACCAACAATGACTGCTCATCTATTCATTTTCACATTTAACACAATTAAAGGACGCAATTTGAAATGAAATAACATAAATATAATAAATAGTAATAATGGAATGAAAGCTGAAATAATACACAAATTCTAACTTTCGTAGCATCCAACTGCATAAATTGGGAGAATGTGACTGAACGCTAGTAGTCTTTATTTCATATTTATTTCAAATATGTTTTAAATAATTTCTAAAAGATTAATTTGTAAATGTATAACAAAAGCTCCAATGTATGAAACAAAGAAATATGAACAATTCAACATGTCCTTATTTGAAGATGTTTTTGATGAACACATTTCATTTAGGGGGAAAAAATCGTAACTTCATAATTGTAGTTGTAGGAAGAAGCCAAAAAGAGTGAATTTTTTCAATTTTTGAAAAATCAGAATTTTTAACTAATATGAGATATGCACCGTTGTCTTAAACTTCTCGCAGCCTATCCAAACACAAAATTTCATAAAAATGATGGAGCCGTTTTTGAGAAAAATTGTCTAAACAAAATTAAAAATTGCCTATACTTCACACAAAAATACCCGAAAACTACTCAAATTTTTGAAAAATTGTACATGATATTACTTTAGAATCTATCTTTGAGGAACATTTTTTGTTAAGGGAAAATATCTCTATCTTCAGTATTTGTAGGTAGACAATGTTGTTTGTAGTTATAGATAGAAGCTGAAAAAATTGAATTTTTGTAATTTTCAAAAAATTAGAGTTTTCCATGAAAATGAGACCTGGTTCGTTCTCTTTAATGTCTTTTACACTACCCAACAACAAAATTTAATTAAAAAACCGTGGACCCTCCCCTTTTTTTTATGTCCCAGGGGTTTCATGTAAAGAATCCCCCAAATATCAATTTCAAATACAAGGGGCAGCGACATCAGCCAGATTGATCGGGGAATATCAATTTTGGAGGAAATTGGCTGAACGGTTTACCCGTCTGCGGTGGTTCCAGACGGACAGACAGACGTTTTGCCGTCAATTGACTTTTCGGTATCAAGGATCCACATAACATGAATTCGGGCTACACCGCGTCTTAGAGGATATTTTGCTTTCTAAATTTAGCAACTGGATTTTTCAACATTTTTGTTACCAAGGCCCTGTAATAAGAGTTTTTGTGACGAAAATTCGCCCTTTTGTCACACAGCGTTATAAAATTTTCTCTTCTTAAGAAGTTCCTTCTCAAGCATGAAAAAGTAAAAATGAGAAACATAACCTTGCATGTTGTGACACACAAAGGCATTTTTAACACCTGTGATGAGTCAATTCATATTTGACGAAAAATATTTGTTTATAACTAGAATTCTCTAGTGTAAACATCATTGTTCTTAATCTATTATTGCAAAATTGCTTTATTTTCAACTAGTGGAAGAATTTGTTCCATGTCCAGTGCAGAGTTGCTCCCAGATGCTTGTTGACATAATTGCTGGTGTTCTAATTTCTTTTTAATGAATGTGCTCACTAGCTTTTGCTGCATTTGCTTTGACAATTTGTGGGAATATTCTCATTGATCTCGAGTGGTCAGCATTTCAATAATAGGTTTCAAATTCTGCGTCCCTGACATAGCGCGTATGCTTTTCAGTGGGGTGTAGGAAGCCTTATAAGGTAATGGCTGTAAGAATGTCAGATTTTGATCAAGTTACATGTGAGCTTTATGATAAGGAGCTAACAAGCAATTACAATTCTGAGAGTGTAGGCTTCCTCGTCCAGAGTCGGTATTTAATTGGCTGTCCGAATGACGATGCTTCCATGGCGAAGGTGCAACGGACATTAATTACAATTCTGCTTCACAAACATCTGGATATCCTTGATTTCGAGTGTATGATTTCGGAGAAGCAGGGATAAGTTACACGTTTCACGACAAAGGTCCAGAGGTCATAGGGGGCCAGTATTATGTTACTTTGTTTCACAGAAAGGCATTTCCAGGAACAGATATTGGCAAACTCATGTTTGAGAGATATGTTGTGAAAAGTAAATATATTAAAATATTTGGAAATATGTTAGGTAAAATATCTAAAAAAACCTAGCATTATTCCAAAACATGTAAAAATATGAGATAAAAATTGAGTTAAATAATTCAGAGTGTGCAAACTTAACAAAAAGATTGAATGCGAGTATCTTACACCTAAAAAATATGTATTTACTTGTGAATTTGATCCCTATCGACAAATAATCATATAAAATACTAAAATGATATAAATGAAAACAGAAAATGTATACTTAGTAATTTCAGTTTGCTGTTGACCTTTCTCCTCGTTAATGTGATGATTTTGACTAAGTGCTTACTTTTATGATAAATTTAAGAAATCTGTTCTCATATTCACTAATTCTAAAAGTATAGTTTTGTATTCGTCTAATACTTTTACTTTTGATTTTTAATCAATTTGATGTGTAATTTCAAGAAATTCTTTACTCCTGTTTCTTTCAGACTCAGATTCTGACTCTTACAGAATAAACTTTTTTGTAAGGAAATCTGGTAATGTTCATATTCTTTACCACTTCTAAGATTTTTTTGTGTATGAAACACTGTGACAAAAACAACTACCTACCATTACTACGTATTGTGAAGTGTTGTCTTATTAATCCACCTGTTTATGGTGCTAAAGTGTAGAATTCCATGTAGTGGACATTAAACACTAAAAATGTTTTGACAATTGTAAGTGGACCATGTTTACAAAGTCGCTATAAGTACTTCTGGACTTTGGATACTTCTTCTTTAGTAACATTTTGTTTGGTTGATCATTATCACATCCCATCTAAAAGTGCTAAGTAACCAAATTTAACTTGATATGTAATCGTTTTCATTTGCCTTATAATATTATGACATTGTTCTCAATATATTAACTGTATTTAATTTTGAAAATACTGTGTCTGCTGTCCTGTTTAATCTGAATGACTACACGTTTTCCCAGTATATAGAGCTTTTTATTCACTGCACAGAGTGGAATTGGGCTTTTTGCTAGGGAAATATTTTGTTTTTGGTAATGTAAATTGTTTTCATATAAGATGGGCACATAATGTGTATTATTATTTCCTATGTATTTTTATCATTACAGAACTTTTTTCAATATTTCATTTTACAGATGTTGGGGTGGGTTTCGTTACCCTTTCACTATCTTCTTGACAAGTTAGAAGCAATTTTACCTTCAAACCTTCTGCAGCAGTTATCGAGGATATGAAGTGGAAGTGCTGTGAGGAAGTTGTATGTGATTTGATTTTCAAATTAATGCACTTCAGGAGACAAAAGATACTCTAGTGGGTGCAAAAGTATGCTCAAGCTTTTTCCACGTTGTTGTGCTAGTTGCTCTAGCATTTAGGCAACTATTTTATGAAGACTGAATGCTGAATATTGGAACAAGCTTGCTGTTTCAACTTCAGGAATACGCTATGCAAGGCCATAGGCCAAACCAAAAGTGCAAATGAATGTACTAATTTTTTTATGTTAGCTGTCAGAACTATGAAATATGCATGTGTGTGAATTTCAGTTTTATGTCAAACTGTCAGTTGCCATCTGACATTTTTATTGCAATAAATGAATGATTTGAGTGATTATTTTAAAATTGAAGAAAATAGCTGATTGCCTTTTTATACATGTATTTGGCATTGCTTTCCTCAGTACCAACAAAATGAATGAAATTTCCTGTTCTTGTCATCATACACTGTCAGAAAGTGAAAGAAGAACTCATTGATGTTTCTGACAATTTGTTTCCACAAAACATTACAATTTTCATATTGAAATAGTTTGCTGCTTAATTCCGGAAATACCATCTCGAATTCTATTTTATTGGGTTACTGTGCCATTTACAAATATTTAACGAAGAGAGTTCACCTTTCCATGGTCCTTCAGTCACTCAGTATTTTATAAAAGTATACAGACCTGAAACAATTGTCCAGTTATACTACCTACTTGCTCTTCTGTTGATTGTGATCATGATTAGGATTATGCTGTGTAAAGATCTTAATAATGCATTGTTACTCCTTGAAGGTTATGTTTACATTGTAGATATTTTGTAAACAAAATTCCCCAGTTTGTGCTGCCATTGCATTTAATGTTCCTCATAAGAATCTCTCTCAGCAAATCTAATTCCTCAAGATCTTTATAGAGTGTACAATTACATTTGTTTCTATAGAAGCCATTAATACTTTATTACAAGTTGACACAAGATAATTCACCTCTTGAAGATCATGTCTTTCCTCAAGTGTTGCATTTGTATAAGTGTTGCGTATTTGATTGTAATCATGTGTTTTTTATGTACATCCAGCCAGCCAGACTGAGCAACACTATTAAAACTTTTTGTTTCTTGTTGTTAAAAAGAAATGTTTTCACCTTTTGCCTGACATACTTCACATCTAAATTGAAAGTAGAATTACTCGTTCCGAATCACATTTTTGTTGGCTTATTGAAGCAATACCAGTTCTGCTTCAGTGGGTTGTGATTAAAATCATATCACAACCTGCTCAATGTCCTTGAATATTTGCAATATTTCAGATTTCCAAAATTGTGTGTTTTTATTTTGTTCTTTGTTGTTTTTTTCACTTTCTGCTTGTGTATGTAATTCTTTCTAATGGTACTGAAATAGAAATACATGTAAGTTGAAATTTCAGATATTGAAAAATATTATAACTTTGTTCCTGTCATTACTAGTGGTCTTCACTCTTCTGTAATTTAAAGTTTAAGTTTGAAGGTCTGTTGAGAAGTTCCTGGACTGATACTTAAAAGCAAGAAGCACTTCTGAGACAGTGTTCACATTCAAGCCCTGTAATAATTCTCATAAAATTTATTCTTTTATTATGTGAAAGTACAGCCCCAAACTTTTCTATTACCTGTTTTAACTTCCTTTTTTTAATTTGATTTTAAGCACATTAAGGTATGTTAATAATGTCATCTTAATATTTTCAGGTAGGTTTTTAATGATTTTCATCTTTCATTTTCTAGTTGCTTAAATAGAAAGCATGATGATAAATGCCACAAACAACTTTCATGTTTATTTAGTATCTAAAATGAATGTTGCCATTAAATATGTGTTGATTTTAAAGTAGTCGAATTTGTGTTGAAGCTTGTTTTTTAACCATTTCTCAAATGAAATGGAAAAATTTACTTTTGTTCTCCATTGTTTTGAAGTGTGGTTGAGATGTTTCTTTGAAGCAACCACCCTTAGTACCAGAAAGTTGGCATTAAAATTTACTGATTACAAGTGTGGCGTTTAGTGCAAATACTTCAGCATTCATAATGTGCCCTTTAGCATTACACAAACTTATAGCAAAGTATTATTCCTTCAGTATTCAGTGTCTTAATATATAATAGAGGCAGTCTGGAAACTTTTCAACACAATTTTTTCTTTATTTATTTTGTATTTTAATTTTTCTGAAGACAATCAGTATTTTAAATTGTGGTGAACCATGTTATTAATTACTTAGTGCTCTTAATTTGTGATTTCAAACTTGTAATTGGGCTATAACACTTAAGTAGAGGAAAGAATCCATTTTGTAGATTTTAAGCAGTATTTTGAGAAGTCTTCCCAAAAACTATGTGTAACTGGGTCGAACTATGTCTGGCAGTTATTAATGTGAAAAACACTGATCAGGTTTACAAGAAATAGTGTTTCAACAAATGGTGGCAATTTGGCCAGACTTGAGTTCAAGTCTTGGAAATGTGATACATGAAAAACAATTTATAAGTTCATATTGTTTTCCAGAATAAAAAAAATGATCCATCCATAAATGTAATCCACAACTTTATTTTGAAAGCTATTGATTGTTCATGTTCAGTTTGCATTGTATGTATAAATATGGTACAAAAGTGTAGTGTACGTAAGAAACATACAAAGATGGAAACTTCTAAATGTTTCAAAATGGTACATGTTTTAGTTACATGTGATGAATCAATTTAAGGACATTGTGCTTTAAAGTATTGTTAGCAAAATGTATAACAATGCTGTACTGTGGTTTTTGCTCTTTTGAGCATGAAATATATTCCTTAGTGCCTTCATCTTCTGTGAGATAGATGCATCTTTATAGTACAATAAGTAATAAAGAATTGTAGAGTTTCTAAAACGTTTTAAATTTACTGTTGCCTAGTTGTGGGAATGATTTTGTCTGTGTTGAGTGCATTAATTGCCTTTTAGTGTGCTGAATATTCTTTCCTCAATTTTTATTGAGTATGTATATATATATATATATTAATTTTTGAATATATGAGTGAAGATTGTTCAGTTAAACTGCAACAATTTTCTTTGGAACTTAGTCCATAATAGTTGATAACTTATATGAACATTTTCATTATTCTTTTGTCATAAATATTGTCCTGTTCTCTCCTAATTTCAAATTGGGATTGGGATTGGGATTGTGACAATTTGGCATTGGTAGAGCTGCAATAAAATGTGTGTGATATATTTAATGACTTTTGAAACATTCCAATTTCTTCAGGTATTTTATCTGTAATTACAGAAAATAATTATAGGTGTCTGTTATCTATGTTGCAGTACTTGTTATTGCATGTTCTTTATTTTTCTGCTCTGTGAATGTTTTAAATGAAATTCTTGTTTTATTTGTGGATTTTTATTTATCATCCTATTCTTAATTATAAGCTTTGATACAAGTCCTGTAAATATATTGTATCACTATGGTACCATGGTACCACAATGATAAAATACACATACCTCTGTCAATTACTTTAAGTATTTGGCATGAGGGAATATTAGCAAATATTTGTGTGAAATATTGTAAAAAATATTTATGTTCCTTCTATATACCTAAGTTATGTTTTGTGTTTTATGTTGTTCAAAAGTTTCTGTTAAACATTTTCATGGCTTTTCTTCAAAATCTGTTAGTAATATTAATAGAAATATATGGCACAAATCTGGGCCAGATATTTTTTAAAAATATAGATTATGCTTGTTATTGCTTAATTTACAATTCATATCACAAATTTTCTAGTCAACCAACAAATAGAATGTTGGATATTACTAAGATGAAGTGTACACACAATGCTTAAAAAAAATACAAAGGAGATAGAATTTGCAAATTTGTAGCCGTACTGCAGCATAAAAGATGTAAAAATTTCCATTGAGCTAGAAATCTATTCAACATATTTATATTAAATCCAGGAATCGTTTTGGATGTGTACATCTTAACAATTCACTTGTTTAATAGCAGGGTATTAGATGTGAAATCTAGGCAAGTATGTTTATAGATGTTAATGATCTATTAGGAAAGACTAATGTCCATAAAAAATGCACAAAGAAATGTATAATTATTTTTGTATCAGCACAAAGCGTTCACATTAAAATTTTTGCTTTTACATTGCAAAGTATATAACATTATTCAAAATATTGAATTGCAATTTCAGATCCTCATTATATTCTACTGACATGAAATAAATTTAAATTGCTAATTTCAAAAGATAATTTATATGAGTATAATAAAATTTCACCAAAAAGTTTTCTCAGAACATTCATTACATTTTTTTAAAATAAGAAATTTGTTGAAAAGAAGTAATGCAATTCTCGTTTCTAATTAATAAAATGACGCAACAAATTAGTATTGCACAGTAATTCAAGCTGTCTGTAGACAAAATATTTTATTTGGCTGGTTGTAATTTTGTTAAAAGCTTTGCTCCTCTCATTTTTATGATATTAAATTATTTTGGGGTAAAACATTCATGTATATAGATGTACAAATAAGAAGCACAGCAAATTAAATTTTATGTCATTTCTTATACATTATATATATATATATATATACATATATATATATATATTTATTTATTTAATATAATTTTTTTAAAATGCACCCTTTGGGAGTTTGTGTCCTTTTTTAGTGTGACTAATATTTTGAAAATTAGCATCTCAAAAATATAACATTTTTTTTATTAATCAAATCTTTTAATATTATTATTCTTGTCCCTTTTTCTAGTAGTTCAATTAGAAGTTAATAAGGTACTAACAGTAAAAGAAGATGCAGATTCCTTGTTTTTAACTTTACTAAATCATAATAGTGTATATTACCCAATGCAAAGAACAAAAATTGTTTGATATTCTTTATTATTTGAGGCATTAAAATACTATTTAGGCAGCTGGAATATGCTCATATAAATTATACTTGTCCTTGAAATGTCTTTATTTGCTTTGCTTGTATTCATTATGTTAAATACTTACCTGAATATCCGTATTTGCTATCCCATGTATATTTTTCTAAAAAAATTTAATAATAGTTAATTGGAATTATTATAAAACAAAACATTTTTTATAATAGTCATAAGATTTCCCAAGCTCTCAAGAAAAATTATTTATGTACTAATCAATTATAATTCACTGGAGTGAAAGATAACAATGTTAGTCTGGTGTTGGTAATATTGAAGAAAGTGAGCCTAACTGGATTTTTCAAATAGAATAATGGCTTTGAGCAGTAGTTTTCATTTCCTTTCCATTCACAATAGGGTTCTGTATATTGCAAAAATTATTTTGAAAAATGAATCCCAGGCAAAGAGAGGGGAAGGATACTGAAGTGTGTTTTATTTTTAATTTCCAAATAAGTATTTTCATTTGTAGTTTGATCACTTATTTGAAAAATTCGAAACATACTAAGATTATTTGTAAAGAATAGAGAATGTTTTTCCGCAAAAACAATTAGTCAGCTAAGTTCCTGGGATCATTTTCTGTTTAGCCTATTTATTTATGATCCTAGGGAATATATATATATATATGCAGTGACCCCTTGCGGTCCTTAATCTGCTTATTGTTGTTTTCTAAAACCTTCGTAATGTCTGTGATTCATACAAATATAATTTTCTGCTGTTCATTTAAAAACAAGAATATGAATCTTCATATAATCTCACCTACAGATTATTTTACACAAAAAGTATTTTAATTATAGAATACATTTTCTTTATCAAGCCCTCTACAGTAGGAGAAGGTAGTGTACCTTTAACCTACAGTGATTTAGGGAAAATTTAATGAGAGTTCAGGCAATCAGAGCAGAATCAATTAGTGTGCACTTTGAAGTTTAAAACCATTCACAGTAGTTTGTTGACTAGCCAGTGGAGACAAACTAATTTGTAGTTGATGAGAGCTGCAGAATTTTTGTGGGAAAATATAAAACTACTTTTCACTATTAAAAGTAAGTATTTTGTTTCTACTTCTTTGATCTCTAACCACTCCATTTTGTTTTCTATAGCATTTTCATTATTTAAAGCATTCTCTTAGCTACAAAGACACAAGTTTAAGCCTAATTTGAAAATGATAGCTTTTTATGTGAAATATGACTAAGCGTTGTACCTTGGACGAATTCAAGGTAAAACATCTCTGATAAAATTAATACAAATAAACTTTAATTATATTCAGTTATTAAGTGTTTTTATTTATGTGAATAAAATGTTTGTACGAGTGTGCCCTCTTGGTTCAAAACTACTTTACTGATTTAGCTGCGCATTTCAGTTTGTTCTTAATATTGGTATTTTAGAGGGTTTGAATAAAATGAAATAAAAAGGGTGACTTTTTTAGAGTTAATTGAAGATTAAATTTATTTACATTTTTATGACTAAGAATAGATGCGGTGGTCAAGTGGCAGCATTTTGCTGAATCTCTGACTGAGAGGTCATAGGGTTCATGTCACAGTGGATTTTTGACACTTGGTATAAAACTACATAGGTCTGAGGGGTCGTCAATAAATTACGTAATACCAAAGAGGGTGGAGGGCGTCTGAGGTAGTGTTTTGCTGCATACTCAGGGGTAGGAGGGTATTTGATTAGTGATTCATTTTCTTTTTTTAATTTTTCAACATTTGCTTAAATACTTTTAAGCTACTACTCTACTTAAACTTTTTTGAGTCCTGTACATTAAAATATTAACTAATTCGTTTTGAAAACTTAAGCTATTAGTTGTAAATTCATATAATAAATGAAAATATTTTTTGAATCTAAGATCATGAAGACAAAAATTCAAAACTGAAATGTATATTCTAGAATCCATTTAAATTGGTGCTGTTGACTCTCGCTCTTGCATCATCCATGAAGTCGTGTTCATAGCTTGTGATCAACCATTTCTCGCCGAATCATTCTTCTTTCACCCACAACTTGCACCAAACGTATTGTTACGTGCAGCCAGCATCCCCAACTAATTTTTACTTTAATTTTCATTAATTACTTTAATATACAATACAAGTAAAAGAAATACGAATTATTTTTTCCATGCTATAATTTATTTTCACTTCTTGCATTTACAAGGGAGTGTTGTCGCAAGCGTTACGCAATTATTACGGGGGATGCATGTTAAACCATGGGAAGAACACCTACATCTCGCAGAATGCAACATACAGTACACTTACGAGACTAATGATTATAGTGGTTGAAGCACCTAAATGAACTAAATCTGCTGCTGCTGGAATTGTATTTCGTTGTTCAATACCAATACTGTTATTTAAATTTTACTGTGATCCAAGGTATAACAATTCGATTATGATTCCATTTTACTTGAATATTATCTCTATATAAAGTTTGTGGTTTGTTGTTTCGTTATTTTAAGAAAATCTTAAAGAAGTATCTATTTCACAATTACTTAAACCTATATTTAGTACAGAAATATTGTAAGTTTGACTCACCATGATAATTAATGTTTTAAATTAAAAAACACGCGATTAAAAAACTGGTGGTGCTCAATAGTATATTCTTCCTCAGATTATTTATAACTTTTGCGACATTCAAAAATATGTTGTCATAGCGTCCTTTGTTCTATACATGGAAACAATTTGGAGCCGTTTCTAAGAACATTTTTTAAAAATAATTCGGATTATCTTAAAGCTGAAATTATGTGAAAAATTCACGTTTTATTTAAAGAGTTGTTCATGACACTTTTTAAAGGTCTGATTTTTACAACAGATTTCATTAAAGACCAAACTTTTGCAATTTTCGAAAATATAGTTCGTCGAAAGTGGGACCTGCGTCATTTAATCTCACAAAGTGAAAAAAGTAAGAAAAAAATTGGAGCAGTTTTTTTAAATTGTTTAAAACAATTGCATTAACTTCAAGCGGAAATTATGTGAAAACTACTTAATAATTGGCTATTTTTTGAAATTCCACAGAGTTCGCCGAAAATGGGACCTGCATCAATTTCTTAACCGTCTATTGCTATATTCGAGGGGAAAATTTAAAGAAAGTAATGGTGCTACAACATCTCATACTTCCTCTCATTATTTCACCTTTTCAATTTTCGACATTTCACGGAGCTCGATGTAAATGAGACCTGCTCCATTTTTAGCGTTACCTGCTCTATCTGTGAAAATAAAAAAAAATAGGGAAAAATAAAAATATGAAGCCATTTTTGAGATTTCTTAAAAATAAACTGCATTACTTTCAAGTAGAAATTCTGTGAAAACTACTCATCTTTATAAAAAATACTAGTGGACCCGACAGTGCTTCGTTATTGCAGTGCACATCAAACACTAGGTCACGTGATTGTTAAGGCTAAATGTACCGACACTAGTACAATTTGTGGTCACCACGTCGCAGCACCAAAATAAGTAAAATTTACTTACGCGATAACATCTTGAACCAATGGTCCGATTTTTTGATCTGTAAACGGCAATTTGACGCTTTTTTTTAAATAGAATTACCACTACGAGGCCCCTTTTTCCAAAAATCTAGCAAAAAATTCAAATTTGGGGAAAATTAGTTTTCTCGGAACTTCCGGAGAAAAAATTAAAAATGTGGGGCTTATAGCGCGATGGCGACATGCTTGTGAATCCAACGCCGTGACAATCATAGCAAATCGAATGAATAGAAGCTCGTAAAGTGAAATTTCGAAAACGCCTCGCCCCCCTCCTCCCCTTCTGCCCGTTTGGCGTCACCCACCCGATTGTCTGTGGGCCTCTGTCCGCGCGGGGGTGCACGACCCAGGCCAGGTCCAGGCGGCGTGCGGCCAGCCCGCGGGAGCGGCGGGACTTGCGGGAAAAAATACGTGAGCCAGACAGTCGGTTTTATGCTTTCGTCACTTTGCATCTCAATCTTACCTTTTCCACAGATACCAAACTAGAGATGCAATACTGCTAATTACAGACAGACGTAAACGGTCCCGTGAAATAGTAGTACAGTAACTATCTTTTTCCACAATATTTTCGTCCTTCCTTTGAATATCCCATTTAAAATTGTTTGAGACTATTACTCAAAATATCGATTCCCTATTTGAGAACTGTTTTTTTAAACAATGAAACTAATTCTGTAAATATCACCAATTAGGTCATCTTCTCGGGGCATCTTATTTTAGGGGGATATATTACTTACTAAGGTATTCGTTTTCATTCCACCTTACTCTAAGATCTTCCGTTGTCCATACCGGAAAGAATGAGCGAGTTAACGCCGAGCTTTTTAATCCTACAACTTTTTGGGCATTCACAGATTCCCAAGCATATTTTTGCTCCAAAATAGGTGAGTCTATCGAACCTGCCAAAGAAGAGAAGGAAATATGCGACAAAGCACGATTTCTATGCAGCCAGTTGTACTGAATAGTCATCAACTTATCACGTAACTAGCATAGCAAACGCTTGCAGAATATTACATGTCTTTAGTGCAAAATTTACTGGGGGAAAACAAATTAAACAGAGGCAAACGAGTTAATTTTACCCCACAGAACAAAAGCTGCCGGTTTAGACTAGATTCAGTTGAAATCGTATTGGCACTATGAGACAATGAATATCTAT